CCTCTAGTTCCCTGCAGAAGCATGATCTGTCCTCCAGTTACTACAGCCGCCGGACCGTTTGCTGCGATCCCTGCTCGCTGCGATCCCTGCTCGCTGCGATCCCTGCTCGCTGCGATCCCTGCTCGCTGCGATCCCTGCTCGCTGCGATCCCTGCTCGCTGCGATCCCTGCTACCTCCACCCGCTCTCCGGGCTTGCAGGCGCCGCCGCCTGACACCGTTCACTCCCCCACTGTTGCCTGTCTCTCAAGCCTCCCCTCAATCCTGCTTCTCTGTGGTCTGCCAGGCCCTCTTATTGGCCTCTGGGACCTCCCAGGTGTGATCAGGTTCATAATCAGGTAGGGGCGGAGTCTTTCCAGGACAAGTCACCAATAACCATAAAACCATAAACCATAAAAACATGCAATAAAACTCATAAAAATAACACACTGTACAATATTAAAAAGGTAAAACACAGCAAAACATGCATAGTAAAAAAACCTAGATAACTTGTCCCTTTCCACCCCGTGACATCCGCACCTTTTATGGAGCCGTAACATAGATCCAGAGTCTTACTGAAGCGTGTGGGATAGTTCACATACTGATAAAAACTGCTCAGTGTTTTCTTCAAGTCGCAGCGATTAAAGTCCCCAAGAACAATATTAGGAGCCTCAGGAGAGAGAGATTGTAGTGAGTGGATGACGTTGGAGATGGTGTCAGTCGCATTCTTAGGATTCGCTTTAGGATGTATGTAAATGATGGTGACGTTGATCTGTGGGAATTCCCTCGGCAGATAAAACGGCCTCAAAGACACAGAGAGGAGCTCAATGTCAGACAGACAAACTTGTTTATGAACGGTCACGTTTTTACACCATTTCTGATTTATATGCAAACACACCCCTCCTCCTTGAGATTTCTGGGTAGCTCCGGGGTCTCGATCCAAACGTATGGGAAACCCGAAGCCATTTATTTCCACAGAACAATCAGGGTCAGAATCCTTGAGCCAAGTCTCTGTGAATGCCATTAGACATGTATCCCTGCAGTCACGTAAATGTGCAACATTCAAATGCAGTTCATCCAATTTACTCCTCAGAGACTGCACATTAGCCAGGATTATTGATGG